GAACAGCCTTTTGCGACCTTTCAACTTTTAAGAGTATTGATTTTGAAGCACCACCCCATGATAGTATTCCATACGATATAATTGATTCACATAAACAGAAATATAAATTTTTAATAGTTTTCATGTCACCTACATGTCTAATGTTTTTAAAAACGTATAATAGTTTACGCACACGCCTAACAACTTCTTCAATTTGACAATCCCATTTCAGATGCTGATCTATGACTATGCCAAGATATTTTAGTTTTGAAACAGATGATAGTTCATCACAGCTACATGAAATAACGTTATTACAAGAATGAGCTTTAATTGAAAAACAGTTTTTTTTTTTGGTTGTGTACGATTTGTAATACTAAATGTCATATATTTCGTCTTGGTAAAGTTTAAGGTTAAGATATTATGGTCAAGCCATTCCAATATTTTGGAGAAACCTTCATTTGCAATAGACTGTACTTCATCCCAAGAATTTCCATTAAAAACAATAACAGTATCGTCTGCAAAAGTGATAACTTGTGCATTCTTTAGCTCAATTTTACATAGTCCATCAACATAATTTAAAAATAATGTCGGGCCAAGTACACTGCCTTGAGGAACTCCATGGGTGATAATTTCTTCTTCACTTTGAATATTTCCAATTTTCACTGATCGAGTTCTATTTTGAAGGTAGTTAGTAAGTAATTTTAATGGAATCCCTCTGATACCAATATCCTCCATCTTTTTTAGAAGCAATGTTATAGAGACTGTATCGAACGCTTTCGTAAGGTCTAAAAATATTCCCACACATTTTTGTGATGAATCACAAGAAGCAACAATATGTTGTACTAAATTTTCTATAGCGTCTGAAGTGGATCGATTTCTTCTAAAGCCGTATTGATTTGTTGATAACATTTTATATTTTTCCAAAAAGTTTAAAAGGCGGACATTTATTACCTTTTCTAAAATTTTTGCTAAAGTGGGCAATAAAGAAATAGGTCTGTAATTATTGATACTGCATCAATCCCCGGATTTATATACAGGTACAATTAAAGACTTTTTAAGGACATTGGGAAATATTCCTGATTCCATACAAATATTACAAAGGTGAGCTATATGAGAAGATAAAATGTCAACAGATTTTTTAAGAGCTATTTTTTAGAGATAGAATAATATTTTTAATCTCTTTTTCATCGGTTAGTGTTAATACCAAAGAGTTACTTGTAACGTTATCATTTTTATGCATATTACTTATTATGTCCTCGGTCAAATTTAATTTATCAAGTATTGACGATGCCAATGATCGACCTATGTTAACGAAATATTTATTTATACAATTTGCCGATTTCAAGGGACTTGAGTTTAAAGGTGCAATATCACTGTGAGATTTGTTTGTTTGTTTTATATTGCAAACTTTCTTTACAGTATTCCACGTTTTTTTCATGTCATTTTTATTTCTCGCTATTTCTTTTTCATATTCTTTTTTTAATTTCTTTAAAAGCTTATTGCAATAATTACGGTATCGGATATAAGATACACGCAATACATTATCATTTGGATATTTTTTGTTTTAAAATGAAGTTTATTCCTGAATCTAATGCACCGAAGTAAACCTGGTGTTACCCAGGGTTTAATATTAAATTTTCTATTTGATATAGTGTATGTGATAGTGTATGTCATTACAATTTTTGAGAGTTGTAGTAAAAAGTTAATAAAATAATTCTCTTTTATAATTCAATACAAGATCGTAGACATCAGTGTGATTTATAATTTATACATGACTTCTAGTTAAACTTTACACCTCAGAAGTGGTCATTATTGATTTTGCAAAGACGGAGATAGAGGTTGGTCCGAATCACGAGCTTCTAAATTTAAAAAAATCTGGTAATCCGCCTCACTATAGTCCTACAAAGAACAAATACTATTACATATTAATTTCATAAACTTTTAAAATTATCGTGTTCTGTTAAGAAAGTTCATCATTTATTGCGATATATTATTAAACTAATGACATTGAATTAAAGATGCAAAGCTTAATTTAATAGAAAATGTTAAATATAATTAGTCATTTAACTTTCAAAATCAAAATAAAAATTTCAAATTAAACTTGATATCGAAACTTAATTTTAAAGTGAAGATAACGCATAATAAATTGAAACAGAATTTACATCTTCTGTTATTTATAATACGATCGTTGCTGTAAGATAATCGTTGTTTTTAAGGCATTTACTTTTTAAAAACGAAATAAAATGTATTTATTTATTTATTATTTATTATTAAGATGAAAAAATATGAGGGAGTAAGTTATAAGGCAGTCGCGTTGATGCAATGAATATATCGTACGTGTGTCTAAAAACCTCGTGAATTAGACAGAGGGCAGCCGTACGAAGTTGGGTGCAGGCGAGGTAAGGGAGAGAGGGGACATTACAAAACTTGGTTTTAACCGGTTAATTCTTACTACCTAAACCTAAATTTGTGAAAACCGGTATTCCGCAAATACCGGTTTTGGGGTCAACGACCGAAACCGGTTCAGAATTTAAACCGGTTTCCGAGCCCTGCTAGTTACGCTGGCATATTATAGAATTATACGAAGTCCGAAGAGAGGGGGAGGACACGATAATCCTCGAATCCGGCAACTTGCTCTATCACCGGGAGGGCGACCATCCGTCCCAAGGAGGTGTCGGATTTATCGTCCACAAGTCTCCGTTAACAACGTTGTAAAGATTGGGAGTGTGTCGACGAGGGTTGCGTACCTCATACTCAGAATCACCAAACGGTATTCGTTGAAGGTCAAACAGGTTTACGCACCAACTTCGGCACACCCCGATGAGGAGGTGGAAGAAATGTATGAGGATATCTCTAGAGCCATGCATTCCTCCAAAACCCAATATACGGTGTTAATGGGAGACTTCAATGCAAAACTAGGCACAAGACAGAACGGTGAGCTAAAAGTAGGGAAATTTGGAACGGAACCCAGGCCAGCAGCTGGCCGACTTCATGGAGAAAGAGGGACTCTTTATGATGAACTCTTTCTTCCAGAAGCGGCCCCTGTGGGGACCCAAGTGGATCAGGCCGAGTCCCGACGGTTCCACAAAATATGAGATTGACTTCATTATGACGACCAAACGACAACTGTTCAGTGATGTCTCCGTGATCGCGAGGGTGAAAACTGGTAGCGATCACCGAATGGTAAGAGGCACACTGAACCTAAACGTTAAGTTGGAGAGGTCTCGTCTAATGAAGTTAACGCTCCGTCCCCCTCGTGCTCTGTTCCAGAGTCCCGAAAACTTTCAGCTCGAGTTACAAAACCGTTTTCAGTGCCTAGAAGACTGCAATGAAGTGGACGGTATGAATGACAAGCTCGTGGAAACTGTCCAAAGAGTGGAATAATTTGCCGGCGTCTATCTTTCCGTCCGAAAACAATCTGGGCGTCTGAAGGCAAGAGTGAATAGGCTTTTGTTACGCTAAGACAGTGCGATTTACTATCTAGGACTGCATCACCACTCACCACCAGGTGGGATTGTGGTCAAGCACTGGCTTATAATAAGTATAAAAAAAAGTCGAGTAGGCCTGATGGAGTCCCTCCCATTGTGCTGAAGACGTGTGCTCCGGAGTTGGCACCGGTTTTAACGCGTCTTTTCCGGTACTTCCACTCCCAAGGCGTAGTGCCGAATTCGTGGAAGACAGCTTTGGTCCACCCGATCCCTAAAAAGGCGACCGCTCAGACCCGTCCATCTACAGGCCTATCGCCATCACCTTGCTCTCCAAAATAATGGAGTCTATTATAAACTGCCAGCTCATGAAGCAAGGTACCTTGAGGATCACCAATAAGGTTTTCATCGGGGTCGATCAGCTGGTGATCTTCTGGTCTTCCAGACTCATAGATGGGCTGAGGCAGTAGAGTCCAAGGGGGAGACTTTGGACATAGCGAAGGCGTTCGATCGGGTCTGGCGCAAAGCGCTTCTTTTGCAGGTCGCTTTCTATGGGCTTCCTGAGAAATTATGCAATTGGATCACCAGTTTCCTTGCTGATCCGAGCTTCAAGGTCGTAGTAGACAGTGCATGCTCTGATTAGAAGCCTACTAACGCTGGTGTTCCACAAGGCTGCGTGCTATCACCAACGCTGTTTCTTTTGCATATTAATGATATGATGCAAGCTGGTTACATTCATTGTTATGCGGACGACAGCACTGGTGATGCTCTATACACCGGCCGTGAAAATATTTCTCGGAAAAACGTCGCCGAGTACCAGGAAAAACTTGTGTCTGAAGTCGAGTCTATGCTGAACGTAGTCTCGGATTGGGGGCAACTAAATCTAGTTCAGTTCAATCCCCAGAAGACACAAGATTGCGCGTTTACCACTAAAAAGGCACTCCCCTTGTTGCCTCAGCTAGCATCGGAATCTTTGGCGTCGACATATCTAACACTGTGCAGTTTCGTGGTCACTTCGAAAGGAAGGCCAGATTGGCTTTTACAAAGCGCAACTTTTGTATCACATGGAATACTGTTCTCATCTCTGGGCCGGGGCACCCGAGTGACAGCTCCTTCCACTTGACTGCATCCAGCGCAGAGCGGTTCGAATCGTCGACGATCGAGTTCTTTCCGACCGGGTCGTTACATCCTTTCGCATTTTCTATTGAATTTACCACGGGGAGTGCTCTGAGGAATTGTTCGTATTAATTCCAGTCGCCAAATTTCATGAACGCACATTGCGTCAAAATTCACGATATCATCCACACCATCTGGATGCTTGGCGGTCCACGACTGTGCGTTTTACTATTGTTTCTTCCTTGTACATCTTTTCTGTGGAATTGTTTACCTCCGGCGATTTTTCCGAACCGATACGACTTGGGACCTTCAAGAATAGAGCTTACACCTTTCTAAAAGGCCGGCTACGCATCTGCAATTCCCCCGGTGTTTCGGTTGTTCATGGGCGACGGTAGTCACTTATCATGAGGTGCTCCGCATGCTCGATTGCCCTCTCTTGTATAAAAAAAAAGAATACTGAATGCGGATTGTGTGCGGCAGGTGCTGCGGCGGGTGATTGCGGCGGTGCTGGAGCACGCGCTGGCGGGCCCGGAGGGCGATGGCGAGGGCGGCGAGGGCTCGGGCGGCGGCGACGCGGCGGACGGGCGGGGCGGGGCGGCGGGCGCGCTGGCGAGCGCGGCGTGCGGCGTGGTGCGCGCCGTCAAGCGCTCGTCCGTGGCCGAGCCGCTGCGCGCGCTGGCGCACGCGCGCCACCCGCACGCGCGCCTGCCCGCGCTGCTGGCGCACGCCGTGCTGCAGGTACGCCCAACGCCACCGCCACTACCTGCACCCTCACTAACACTACGTCAAGCGCTCGTCCGTGGCCGAGCCGCGCGCCACCCGCACGCGCGCCTGCCCGCGCTGCTGGCGCACGCCGTGCTGCAGGTACGCCCAACGCCACCGCCACTACCTGCACCCTCACTAACACTACGTCAAGCGCTCGTCCGTGGCCGAGCCGCGCGCCACCCGCACGCGCGCCTGCCCGCGCTGCTGGCGCACGCCGTGCTGCAGGTACGCCCAACGCCACCGCCACTACCTGCACCCTCACTAACACTACGTCAAGCGCTCGTCCGTGGCCGAGCCGCGCGCCACCCGCACGCGCGCCTGCCCGCGCTGCTGGCGCACGCCGTGCTGCAGGTACGCCCAACGCCACCGCCACTACCTGCACCCTCACTAACACTACGTCAAGCGCTCGTCCGTGGCCGAGCCGCGCGCCACCCGCACGCGCGCCTGCCCGCGCTGCTGGCGCACGCCGTGCTGCAGGTACGCCCAACGCCACCGCCACTACCTGCACCCTCACTAACACTACGTCAAGCGCTCGTCCGTGGCCGAGCCGCGCGCCACCCGCACGCGCGCCTGCCCGCGCTGCTGGCGCACGCCGTGCTGCAGGTACGCCCAACGCCACCGCCACTACCTGCACCCTCACTAACACTACGTCAAGCGCTCGTCCGTGGCCGAGCCGCGCGCCACCCGCACGCGCGCCTGCCCGCGCTGCTGGCGCACGCCGTGCTGCAGGTACGCCCAACGCCACCGCCACTACCTGCACCCTCACTAACACTACGTCAAGCGCTCGTCCGTGGCCGAGCCGCGCCACCCGCACGCGCGCCTGCCCGCGCTGCTGGCGCACGCCGTGCTGCAGGTACGCCCAACGCCACCGCCACTACCTGCACCCTCACTAACACTACGTCAAGCGCTCGTCCGTGGCCGAGCCGCGCGCCACCCGCACGCGCGCCTGCCCGCGCTGCTGGCGCACGCCGTGCTGCAGGTACGCCCAACGCCACCGCCACTACCTGCACCCTCACTAACACTACGTCAAGCGCTCGTCCGTGGCCGAGCCGCGCCACCCGCACGCGCGCCTGCCCGCGCTGCTGGCGCACGCCGTGCTGCAGGTACGCCCAACGCCACCGCCACTACCTGCACCCTCACTAACACTACGTCAAGCGCTCGTCCGTGGCCGAGCCGCGCCACCCGCACGCGCGCCTGCCCGCGCTGCTGGCGCACGCCGTGCTGCAGGTACGCCCAACGCCACCGCCACTACCTGCACCCTCACTAACACTACGTCAAGCGCTCGTCCGTGGCCGAGCCGCCACCCGCACGCGCGCCTGCCCGCGCTGCTGGCGCACGCCGTGCTGCAGGTACGCCCAACGCCACCGCCACTACCTGCACCCTCACTAACACTACGTCAAGCGCTCGTCCGTGGCCGAGCCGCCACCCGCACGCGCGCCTGACCGCGCTGCTGGCGCACGCCGTGCTGCAGGTACGCCCAACGCCACCGCCACTACCTGCACCCTCACTAACACTACGTCAAGCGCTCGTCCGTGGCCGAGCCGCGCGCCACCCGCACGCGCGCCTGCCCGCGCTGCTGGCGCACGCCGTGCTGCAGGTACGCCCAACGCCACCGCCACTACCTGCACCCTCACTAACACTACGTCAAGCGCTCGTCCGTGGCCGAGCCGCGCGCCACCCGCACGCGCGCCTGCCCGCGCTGCTGGCGCACGCCGTGCTGCAGGTACGCCCAACGCCACCGCCACTACCTGCACCCTCACTAACACTACGTCAAGCGCTCGTCCGTGGCCGAGCCGCGCGCCACCCGCACGCGCGCCTGCCCGCGCTGCTGGCGCACGCCGTGCTGCAGGTACGCCCAACGCCACCGCCACTACCTGCACCCTCACTAACACTACGTCAAGCGCTCGTCCGTGGCCGAGCCGCGCGCCACCCGCACGCGCGCCTGCCCGCGCTGCTGGCGCACGCCGTGCTGCAGGTACGCCCAACGCCACCGCCACTACCTGCACCCTCACTAACACTACGTCAAGCGCTCGTCCGTGGCCGAGCCGCGCGCCACCCGCACGCGCGCCTGCCCGCGCTGCTGGCGCACGCCGTGCTGCAGGTACGCCCAACGCCACCGCCACTACCTGCACCCTCACTAACACTACGTCAAGCGCTCGTCCGTGGCCGAGCCGCGCGCCACCCGCACGCGCGCCTGCCCGCGCTGCTGGCGCACGCCGTGCTGCAGGTACGCCCAACGCCACCGCCACTACCTGCACCCTCACTAACACTACGTCAAGCGCTCGTCCGTGGCCGAGCCGCGCGCCACCCGCACGCGCGCCTGCCCGCGCTGCTGGCGCACGCCGTGCTGCAGGTACGCCCAACGCCACCGCCACTACCTGCACCCTCACTAACACTACGTCAAGCGCTCGTCCGTGGCCGAGCCGCGCGCCACCCGCACGCGCGCCTGCCCGCGCTGCTGGCGCACGCCGTGCTGCAGGTACGCCCAACGCCACCGCCACTACCTGCACCCTCACTAACACTACGTCAAGCGCTCGTCCGTGGCCGAGCCGCGCGCCACCCGCACGCGCGCCTGCCCGCGCTGCTGGCGCACGCCGTGCTGCAGGTACGCCCAACGCCACCGCCACTACCTGCACCCTCACTAACACTACGTCAAGCGCTCGTCCGTGGCCGAGCCGCCACCCGCACGCGCGCCTGCCCGCGCTGCTGGCGCACGCCGTGCTGCAGGTACGCCCAACGCCACCGCCACTACCTGCACCCTCACTAACACTACGTCAAGCGCTCGTCCGTGGCCGAGCCGCGCGCCACCCGCACGCGCGCCTGCCCGCGCTGCTGGCGCACGCCGTGCTGCAGGTACGCCCAACGCCACCGCCACTACCTGCACCCTCACTAACACTACGTCAAGCGCTCGTCCGTGGCCGAGCCGCGCGCCACCCGCACGCGCGCCTGCCCGCGCTGCTGGCGCACGCCGTGCTGCAGGTACGCCCAACGCCACCGCCACTACCTGCACCCTCACTAACACTACGTCAAGCGCTCGTCCGTGGCCGAGCCGCGCGCCACCCGCACGCGCGCCTGCCCGCGCTGCTGGCGCACGCCGTGCTGCAGGTACGCCCAACGCCACCGCCACTACCTGCACCCTCACTAACACTACGTCAAGCGCTCGTCCGTGGCCGAGCCGCGCGCCACCCGCACGCGCGCCTGCCCGCGCTGCTGGCGCACGCCGTGCTGCAGGTACGCCCAACGCCACCGCCACTACCTGCACCCTCACTAACACTACGTCAAGCGCTCGTCCGTGGCCGAGCCGCGCGCCACCCGCACGCGCGCCTGCCCGCGCTGCTGGCGCACGCCGTGCTGCAGGTACGCCCAACGCCACCGCCACTACCTGCACCCTCACTAACACTACGTCAAGCGCTCGTCCGTGGCCGAGCCGCGCGCCACCCGCACGCGCGCCTGCCCGCGCTGCTGGCGCACGCCGTGCTGCAGGTACGCCCAACGCCACCGCCACTACCTGCACCCTCACTAACACTACGTCAAGCGCTCGTCCGTGGCCGAGCCGCGCGCCACCCGCACGCGCGCCTGCCCGCGCTGCTGGCGCACGCCGTGCTGCAGGTACGCCCAACGCCACCGCCACTACCTGCACCCTCACTAACACTACGTCAAGCGCTCGTCCGTGGCCGAGCCGCGCGCCACCCGCACGCGCGCCTGCCCGCGCTGCTGGCGCACGCCGTGCTGCAGGTACGCCCAACGCCACCGCCACTACCTGCACCCTCACTAACACTACGTCAAGCGCTCGTCCGTGGCCGAGCCGCGCGCCACCCGCACGCGCGCCTGCCCGCGCTGCTGGCGCACGCCGTGCTGCAGGTACGCCCAACGCCACCGCCACTACCTGCACCCTCACTAACACTACGTCAAGCGCTCGTCCGTGGCCGAGCCGCGCGCCACCCGCACGCGCGCCTGCCCGCGCTGCTGGCGCACGCCGTGCTGCAGGTACGCCCAACGCCACCGCCACTACCTGCACCCTCACTAACACTACGTCAAGCGCTCGTCCGTGGCCGAGCCGCGCGCCACCCGCACGCGCGCCTGCCCGCGCTGCTGGCGCACGCCGTGCTGCAGGTACGCCCAACGCCACCGCCACTACCTGCACCCTCACTAACACTACGTCAAGCGCTCGTCCGTGGCCGAGCCGCGCGCCACCCGCACGCGCGCCTGCCCGCGCTGCTGGCGCACGCCGTGCTGCAGGTACGCCCAACGCCACCGCCACTACCTGCACCCTCACTAACACTACGTCAAGCGCTCGTCCGTGGCCGAGCCGCGCGCCACCCGCACGCGCGCCTGCCCGCGCTGCTGGCGCACGCCGTGCTGCAGGTACGCCCAACGCCACCGCCACTACCTGCACCCTCACTAACACTACGTCAAGCGCTCGTCCGTGGCCGAGCCGCGCGCCACCCGCACGCGCGCCTGCCCGCGCTGCTGGCGCACGCCGTGCTGCAGGTACGCCCAACGCCACCGCCACTACCTGCACCCTCACTAACACTACGTCAAGCGCTCGTCCGTGGCCGAGCCGCCACCCGCACGCGCGCCTGCCCGCGCTGCTGGCGCACGCCGTGCTGCAGGTACCGCACCAAAAAAATGTGTCAAATTACGTTTCAATATTGTCTTTTATAGCTCAATATAAAAATATCTTATATTTTGATATATATTTTAGGATTTCTATGCTATGGCCGTCAAAAGATTAAATGTATGCCTCAGTCAGAACTGGATCCAAAGTAATAATTGATTGGACTATGTGGATATCGAAGTAAATGAAATATTAAAATTGCTCTATGTTTGAAGATGTGGGATAGCGTCTCTTATACTGGGCTTAAAGTTTTATTACAATAAACCCGCACACATCTTATATAATATATATAGATGTTTTAATTACATACGTACTTTGTAAGTTTAAATTCCAATGACAAATCCCTACTTCACATAAGCAATTTTAAATTGATTAGTTCAATTAGTTTCATTTAAAATATTAAATGTGTAAGTTTGTGTCACTAATTATGTACATAACAAATTACAAATTATTATATAATAGGCTATTATCATTGAATGCATGAAAGAACACCGAATAGAGAATTTTGATGGTACACAGAAACTGGTGACGCTGGCGGAGGTGGGGTCGTGGTGCGAGGGCGGACAGCACCACCCGCTGCTGCTGGAGCTGCTGCAGCAGCTGCGCGCGCTCGTCGGCGACGACGCACTGCTGCAGCTCTACAACGAGAGCAAGGTCGGTTGTTGCTCGTCGCTCGTCGGTCACACCCCCGCGTACACTGCATATAGTGCACTCAACTTTACTAAACTTATTTTGTCCGTGCAGGTTGGGTCATAAATCATCGGAGTATTTCGCTCTCTCTCCCAGTCACGGTCCTTGGGGGCGAACATATTGATGCGCATTATTGTTGTCGATAAGCGTTATCGATAGAGTATTTAGTTTTTTCATTGTGTGGGTTAGTGATAAAAATGAAAAAAAAATTGTTAAAACAACGTATTTATTAAAATAAGAACAATATATTATATTATATATTAATAAATAAAAACAAATTTCCCTTCGATATATGTACTAAATTATCATTGCACTAATTAGCTGGTATTAGGCGGGGGTAATAATGGAAAACAAATGACTCATAACATAACAATTTTGCACCACCATTGGTAAATGTTCCTCCGGATCGGTAGTATCAATGGGCGTTCCTCAGGGCTCGATTCTTGGCCCATTCCTGTTCTTAATCTATATTAATGACTTACCTTATCTTGTAGGGAACAATCACGATATAGTATTATTTGCTGACGATACCTCTTTAATTTTCAAACTGAAACGGCAGTCAATTAAATATGACGATGTAAATAATGCTCTATCGAAACTGGTACATTGGTTTAACGCCAACAATTTGCTCTTAAACGGCAATAAGACAAAATGTATTAAATTTACAATACCTAATGTAAAACATTCGAAAACCAATGTGCTCTTAAATGGGGAGGAGTTGAGTCTTGTGGATACCACTGTTTTTCTCGGTATTACTATTGACGCGAAACTTCAATGGGGCCCCCATATATCTAAATTAGCAAGCAGACTTAGTTCTGCAGCATATGCTGTAAGAAAGATTAGAAGTCTCACAGATGTTGAGACAGCTAAGTTAGTGTATTTTAGTTACTTTCATAGCGTAATGTCTTATGGAATTTTGCTATGGGGTAATGCGACTGATATTGAAGCTATATTTGTTTTGCAAAAGAGAGCCGTACGGGCGATTTATAATCTAAATTGTATAGAGTCCCTTAGAGAAAAATTTAAAGAAATAAACAATTTAACTTTGGCATCGCAATATATTTATGAAAATGTAATGTATGTACATAAAAACATAAATAGCTTTAATAATAATAAGGATGTTCATACCTTAAACACTAGGAACAAACATAAGCTTGTAATGCCACTTACAAGACTCCACAGAATTAGTAATTCATTTATGGGGCAATGTATACGCTTTTACAACAGAATCCCAGAACATGTTCAAAGTTTGTCAATAAACAAGTTTAAAAGTTTTATTAAAGAAAAACTGTACAAAAAGGGTTATTATAATATCAAGGAATACATGAATGAAAATAACCCCTGGGAATAAGGTGATCGCCACCATGCTGGTTCTATGAAAATTCATTTAAAATTGTATAATCAAAATTATTGTTAAGTGAAATTATGTTTAAAAAAAAAGTCCCGCTGGGTTTCTTGCTGGTTCTTCCCAGGACAGAGGTATTTTCCGAACCAGTGGTAAATAAAATAATGACTTTCAATAAGTATTATGTAATAATCCATATTGAATAAAAATCATTCTATTCTATTCTATTCTATTCTATACCGCACCGCCGCCGTGTACCTGTCTTCGATAATTCATTTGTTGTTATAGATAATGGCGTTGTGCCGGCGCAACATGCTTACTGATCTAGCCGGACTTAGGCCGAGCTATGATTTATCACCCCAACTGCACGGACTAAATAATTTTATTATAGATATCTTTATTGTATAACACTAAAATTATTTTCACTTTCATCAGCTGTTTTAGAAAAACATGCAATGGGTTATTATTGTTTTTTATTTAATTTTTCTTTAAAAATAACATTACCTCCCACACCAGGGTTTTTTCTTGTATCACGAGAGCAGTTTACATACTTTCACAAGGACAAACAAATACTTGTTCCGTGCGCGATTCGAACTCGCGGCCAACAGCGCCACGGAGACGTCAAATTAAAAATGTTCTCGTAAAAAAGACTAGCAATTAGGTTTATTAAAATGGTTAATATTGTTACATGCAAAATGAGTAATTACGATGAGAAGTGGATGTATTGTTCCGCACAAACAGCAAGTATACAATCCAAAAATGTCATCCAAAATCGTTAAGATTCTTCGGTGAGGTACTTAATAATCGCAGTTATCGTAGGTTGATTGTTCTTAATCGCTTCCTAGAACCTAGTTCACCATCGCGTGTTTCGAAATGATTAATACTTTAATTGACCTTGCTTTCATACCCAATTAGAGAAATTTTCAGTCTAGGTCAGTCTGGATTATTCAAATAGTTATCAATTTAAATGAGAAAATACTAGAATGAATATTCGCGATGAACAATATATTCAAAGGAGAAAAGTTTCCTGTCGTAGACTAGGTTGCGTTTGTTTGCAGCAATTAGTTTGAGTGTTGTTTGTTTATTGCGTCTATACATTGTCATTACTTGGCAGAGGTCAGTGACCCTTATCACATTCTCATGCAACGTGATGCAACACGCACCTGGTTGTCGTAGTAATGTTCTGTAGTTTTAGGAGAGTTTAGAATATCATAAGTGTTTACGTTCCGTTATGAAATCTGTGAAATATTTCACTTCATTTGTAAGTGGCGCCATCTTAGTGACAGAGAAACTTGTGGATTTTCTCACTGACAAACCGCCAGAGGGCACGGGCTAAGAGTTTTGTAGGCGTAGTGGCTGCTTGTAACGTTGCGCTGTCGACCGCCAGATCAACCTGTGCGCGTACGTGTCGGAGCGGTGCGAGGACGGCGCGGGGGGCGGGGTGGGCGGCGGGGCGGGCGGCGCGGCGGGCGCGCTGGAGGCGCTGGAGGCGCGCGGGCTGGCCTTCCTGGTGCCGCAGCTGCGCGTGCGCGCCCAGCTCGCGCGCCAGCTGGCCAGCGAGCCGGCGCCGCTGGCGCTGTACCGCTGGATCAAGGCCAACGTGGAGCCGGCCGTGCGCCACAACGCCGCCTTCGTGTCCACGCTGGTGGCGCTGGTGTGCGCGCACGTGACGGGCGCGGCGGGGGCCGGCGGGACCGGCGGGCCCGGCGGCACCGGCGGGCCCGGCGGCACCGGCAGCGCGCCGGACAAGGCGGCGCTGGAGCAGGAGAAGGCGCTGGCGGAGGCGTACGCGCCGCTGCTGACGGCGCTGCTGGAGGGCCGGCCCGACCTGCAGCTGGCCGCCGTCTACGCCGTGCAGCTGCACGCGCACGCACACAAATACCCCAAGGGTTAGCGTACTTCTATTACACTGTCGCTCGACACTTCTATATATACTACTAGACTAACAGTTCAGAGAGGAGCACATCATAACAATGCGACCAAGAACTTCGGTGTATACTACTAAACTTAACTACCACTAAATTGCCCCTATAAGGCATTCTATGTAAAAATATTACGTCCAACCGAGGAATTGTAGGTAAAATAAGGATATCAAACGAGTACATAATCAACCTGATGGTAAATGAATACTATGCCTATAAACATCTAAATTTAGAATCAAAATGCAGATGTGTTGTCACCCCTGAGAGCTAACATGGAATGCATCGTTTACAGTAAAAGAATCTCCAGTTAGGAAACCTTAAACAAATGGAACATAACATACATTAAGAAAAACTACATTTTGATGCTCAAATTAATCACATTACGGCTAAAGGCTTTCAGCTTAATGCTTTCGTAAGAAGAACCTGTAATCTGTTTAAAAGGCCTGCGACGTATTTATTACTACACTAGCTGTTCGCGCCAAACGCTAATTTCAAGAAGCGACGCCAGGGGGCGCTTAGCGCGGTGATTTCCTACGGGTTGACGTTCGCGCGAGATCCGGTTGGCTGCGAGCGGGGCGCGTCGGAGGTCAATGCAGTGCGATCTCTAGAACGGCGAGATCGTCCGGTATAACCTCTAATTAGTGTCGGTGTTTGTTAGCAAATTTATGCAACGACGAAGAGTTTGTTGAGTCTAGATAAATAGACGCCGGGTCGATTAATTATTTGGAATTTAATATTGATTGCGACCAACGTCCGGGTTTTTGATGCGTGTGGAATTTACTATTGGAGTTTTTCGCTTCTAGTTTTGGTTATCGTTAGTGCGTTCACGCGATGATGAAGCAGTAATAATTTAATTGATTAACCTAAATTCGTTGGCAAGTAATTTACGTAAATTGTATAGTGATTGCCGACGAGTGATTGACGACGACTTGCCAGGCGGAATCCCCCTAAGGCCGATCGGAGCTCCCGCGAGAGGGCGCCGCTCCCTACCATCTTACAGTGGCCTAGTGGCCAGGGAAGCGCCCCCTGTTCCTATTGCCGAGCCTCCGATCACCGGGTGACGTCGTGCCCGAAGTTATTAGGTAAGCCGGTTCCGGCTAGGCGAACTATCGCCAAAGAGCGCCGCTGGTGCTACTCTTGTTTGGAAAGGCACCTCCAGCGTGACTGCCCGCACCACCGGCCCTGTCCGCATTGCCAGGGCAATCAACATGCACTTTTGTGCCTGGGTGCGAACGGTGTCTCCTCTCGGGGCTCTGCCGGGCCCACGAACCCTAAGTTTGAAAGGGGTTCCTCCCCCGACCAGTCGGGGGGTCGTTCCCCCAGGGGCGGGGGTGTCGTCGCCCCCCTCAGGAACCCTCCCCCCTCCCCCCAGAGGAACTTCATGGCCATTCAGCAGTCAGCTAGACCCTTCTCACCTCCGTTAGCTGAGTGGCCGCGGCTGGGGTATCACCGTCCCCCCTTTGATGGAGGCAGCCCTAGCTAGCTGCCGCCCTAGCTCCCACCACGGCCGCCTCCACTGAGCCTTTGAGCCGTCAACAGTCCATTTGTCAAACTGTTCTGTTGCCGACGATCTCAGTGAAGGCGTACAACCCGAGTGGCGACCGTTTAGCGGTTCACGCTCTGTTGGATTCGGGTTCACAACGCTGTGTGGCCTCCACTTGGTTGGTGGGAAGACTAGGGCTCCCCTGGAGCATTGAATCGCGCTGTCAAGGAGTATTAGATTTGGTTTTGGTCGACCACCTAATTAAAAATGCTTTGAATTAAAAATAAAAATGCTTTGGTTTTTCCGCGAAATGTTTCGAAATTGTAGCGGTTGTGAGTAAAAAGGTGAATTTGATATACTCCTTGAATACGTGTACATATGTTTTTGTAAATATATTTGATTGTTGTGTTGGAATTGTCGAAGATATTTATTTTGAAAAGAAAATTTTGTTTTTTTTGGCTATCTCTTATGTTTGTCGTTTTGCTTAATTTGTCTGTTTGATCTAAGCGCATTGGTATACTAATTTGTTTGAATTAATTCAGTGGTTTGAGTATTGTTACTTTTGAAACTTGGTTGAAATATGAGCATAGGACTACATGTCTAAAAAACTAGCTAATTGGGAGATTATAAGATGAAATCAGCTGCCGCACAATTGAGTAACTGATTATATGGTAGATGGCTTGATTATGCTTACTGCGTGAAAAATCATACTAAGGACTGTCTGTGTGTTTCGTGTGCCTCTCCACTGAGGCCGTTCATTTGGAACTTGTAAGTGCCCTCAGCACGGAACATTATAAGGGGCACGGATAGATATTTGAAGGAGGTCGTCGAATTCTGTCCGCAACAGGACTTATTTAGATGCTGCGAAGCCCAGGAAGGGCATCCAGTGGAGGTTCGACCCTCCGGCTTGCCCACATTGGGGCGGTACTTTTGAGGCGGTGGTTAAGGTTGCAAGATCTGATGGGGTGCCTAAGGTGGCCTAGGTTTTGGTTGTAGATTCGGTCTTGCAACGTGCCGTCGTGACCCTTTCCCGCTTGCCGGTTTGCTCGCGGACCTAAGTCCTTATGTCCGGGACGGGGGTTTGTTCGCGCCAAACGCTAATTTCAAGAATCGATGCCAGGGGGCGCTCAGCGCGGTGATTTCCTACGGGTTGACGTTCGCGCGAGATCCGGTTGGCTGCGAGCGGGGCGCGTCAGAGGTCAATGCAGTGCGGTCTCTAGAACGGCGTGGTCGTCCGGTATAACCTCTAAGTAGTGTCGGTTTTTGTTAGCAAATTTATGCAACGACGAGGAGTTTGTTGAGTCTAGAAAAATAGACGCCGGGTCGATTAATTATTTGGAATTTAATATTGATTGCGACCAACGTCCGGGTTTTTGATGCGTGTGGAATTTACTATTGGAGTTTTTCGCTTCTAGTTTTGGTTATCCTTAGTGCGTTCACGCGATGACGAAGCAGTAATAATTTGATTGATTAACCTAAATTCGTTGGCAAGTAATTTACGTAAATTGTATAGTGATTGCCGGTTGAAGTGCTTGACAATATTACTTTGCGTCGAGTAGTTGCTTTGTGGCATTGTATGTAACTCGGAGATATTTTCCTGTGTCGGTTAAAACGCTAAAATTTGTGACCCGCGAGAAACAGTGTTCGTATTAGATTATAGATTTGTGCTAAGGAACGCTGAACGTTGTGACTCGAGAAGGGATCGCGTTCTTGCTCGTGGTTATAATCTTGTTGCTACATGAGACGGAAGTGACCTTTGATCCACCGTTCATTAGTCGTGCCGTGTGTTACGTTTTTGATTACGATTAACGGGGATTTAGTTGAGTTGGAAGTTAATTAAATGTACAATAAAGTTGATAAACTGAAATAGTGAAGTGACGTCAGACTTAAGGTCAGATAAAGTGAAGAGAGCTTTGGAGAGAAGCAACACTGGATCTAACGGTTGGGTCAGGTCAAACATTATACACACTACTATACACCACTTACACGCACCTACACCTACCTACGGCCTGACCGAGCCTTGGGGCGGTCTTAGCTTCGGAACCAGGTACGTACTATTTATTTACCTAGCCTTATCTCTATTCTGTGGGTCAATTGTCCATAGGCCTTTTGGGCCCCGTCCTCTGCTGCCCGTCGATGGGATTACTCATGGGCCCTAGTCCCGTCAAGCTTTGTTGGGGCAGCTAGGGGCGTGTACACTAGCCGTTCACCGCGACTTCCCCCACGTGTAATTTAGGGTTTTAATTATGTTGCGCGGAACCCTAATTCTCTTTCTAAAATATAAGTACCCTTAGTTACTCCTTATAACATCAGCTATCTGCCAGTGGAAGTCCCGTCGAATTCGGTCCAGCCGTTTTATTTTTTATTTTATAGGATAGGGTGATAAACGAGCACACAGTCCACCTGATGGTAAGTGGTTGCTGTGGCCCATAGACATCTACATTTATCCTCGTTTGCGAATCAAAATGCAGATGCGTTGTCACCCGTGAGGACTAAGATAGAATGCCTCTTTTCCAGTAAAAAGGGTCTCCGATTCTCTACACTCACCATACGAAACACAGTAGCATGAAGCCGCTATTTGACGCTGGTATTCTGTGAGAGCGTGTTCCTTCCCCGGTCGAGCCGACCCATTCGTGCTACAACTATACTACTAATATAGCTGCAGCATGGCTCTACCACGTATAAACGTTTCGGAGATTAGTCGGAACAAACAGACAGACCGACAGACAAAAATTTAAAAAATAGTGTTTTTGTTATAAGTACCGTATATACTTTCATATGCATTTAGTTAAAAGCTGTTATGTTGTCATTACAAACAGACACTTCAATTTTATTTATTTGTATAGATAAGTCGCTCATTAGGTCACAACTCGAATACGCTACTTGTGTTTGGAACCCTTATTATGAAAAATATCTATAAATGCTTTAGGAAGTGGTCATCATATCTCAATCTTTTAGATAAATTCTCAATTTCCACTCTAAAAATGAGAAGATTATATTTTGATCAGTTATTCTTATACAAATCTGTCATAATAAATTATATTGTAACCAACTCATAAATCAAATATATCTACGCATGCTTAGTCTGTCCCAACGCATTCTTAATACGTATAGTCATCGTTTATTTGCTCCTAAGATGTGCCGAACAAACACGGGAGAGAGAGCTCCACTACGGCGTATCATGAAATCATATAATGATAACTTTACTGATCTTGACATATTTGCTTTATCATTTGTAATGTTCAAAAAGTGTATTTAAAAAAAAATGTACTATTAATTAAAGTATTGCCTTATGGTTTAAACAGATTATTACTGGTGTAACCTGTTGTTTCTTGGGGCGGGTTTTGGCTAGCATAGCCACTATAGTGGTTGTGTTGGCTGGGATTTGCTCAGGGAAATCTCGAATTATTCATCTGCTTGTGGTATCATACAACGTGTTTGCTGTGCATTATAATATTACTTTTATTGTGATATTACTATGTGGATAACGGTGCTGGTTATGTAATTACTTGGTTTCCCTTTTATAAGACCTGTATCTGTATTATGCTTTATTACACAATGGTTTGTTGTCCTGAAGAAAATAAAATAATATAAAATCATACAAATATTTTTTTCAAAATTAAAAGAAACAACTTGATCATGAATAAAATTTAAACTCGAAATTCTAACCTTTTTACCAATGTTCAGTGAACATAGAATATAAAAATCATAAATTGAAATGTAAAAATATATTATCTTCTTCAAAAACAATCCAAATTTCACAAAGCAGTTTACAAGTATGTGTAGTAAAGACAACTCTGACATACATCTTTCTCTACATGGATAACGCATTATTGAACGGCCTATTTTCAGCATTGAAAATTTAAAAAGCCGTTGATATGTGATGTATATGTACATGATGATGTGGTGCTACTATTAAAAAACAAACGAGCACTGCCTTACTTATAGAACTAACATAAGAAAGAAAACAACTATGAGATCAAAGAATGTAGCACTATTACACTTATCTTAATTTCTACTCGTTTTTAACTGTACTTTTAATTTTATATTATTAATTTACAATGTTTTACTATCAAGCAAACTGTATATTGTTTTTATGTGGTAAATAAATGTCTTTAACCAGATATCTTTAACACTAATGCCACCTCAATGAAGCCTATATAATATGTACTTCTCATTAAGTGAACAATGTTGTTTTGAGAAATAAAATTTCTTTGTACCTAAGTACTACTGAATATTAGTAAATGCGAATAGGACTTCTAACAAACTTGTTACATGTGCACCATTCAGGAATGCTCCTCCGCTGGTTCATGTACCTATACAACCTGGAGGTGTGCGAGGAGGAGGCGTTCCTGCGCTGGCGCGAGGACGTCACTGATGCCTATCCCGGAAAGGGCGAGGCTCTCTTCCAGGTAACCCCACTGCTTTTGTAAAATCATGCACTTTTAGCAATTTCGAATTCATTTACAAGTTCAAAGGAAGCCGTAGAAAATGTTTAAGTGGTAAGCTAAATAATTTTAAGTGCTGATTTACTTTACCATGCTTGACGTTGACGTTACCGTGTAGTGGCGGTGTAGGAATATCCACTTCCCCATATCATCCCGTGGGTGTCGTAAGAGGCAGACAGAGGGAAATAAATCAGGAGATGGGCACCAGCGTCTTGCTGATAACGACGGGTTGCCAACCCGCTTTGAGGCAATATATGGGGGAGAGCTAAGTTCAGCAGTGAAATTTGATAGGCTGTAATGAAAACGAAAAAAAAAGCCTAAATCTTTGTCTTAATAATAAAAAAAATTAACACGTCTGCGAACGCACATTAAAGCAAGCAGTGCAGCACATTCCCCCTAGATAAAAATCTCTAAGATGGATGGGAGAGTAAGCCGTATATTCGACAAATATGACGGTATAAATTAGCAGATTGAAATATGTGGCACTCTTTTGCATCCTATCCCTTACCCTTATTGACGTGAAAACTTTCTTTTAATATAGAATAATGTATGGTAATGTAAAAAAAATACTTTCAAAATAAGAATTACTTGTAATCAATATTGAATAAAAAATTATGCTATTCTAATAAATAATGGTGACAAGCGAGCACAAAGTCCACTTGATGGTAAGTGGCTATTGTGCCCCTTGGACATCTACATCTATCCTCGATTAAGAATCAAAATGCAGACGCGTTGTCTCCCGTGAGGACTAAGATGGAATGCTTCGTTTCCAGTAAAAAGGGTCTCCGGTTCTCTACACTGATGAGTGTAGAGAATCTGAGAGCCTTTGCTAATACAATATTTCTCTCTCTTCAAGTCTGCCATTTTACGCTTGTATTCTGTGAGCGTGGTCCTTCTCCGGTCGAGCCGACCCATTCGTGGTGTAGCCATAACATAGCTGCAGCATGGTTCTACCATGTAAAATAACTACTTCGCTTCCGTCGAGTTGCACGGATGCTATAACTGATATGATGCGTCAAGAAATGGAGTATTTTGTCGACTTTCCTAGCGTACCAACCGGTAGCTACTAGGCTCGTTCATAGTTTGACGTGATACACGCCCAAGCTGATAAGCGCAAGTTATTGAGAGTAATTTATTTTATTTACTAATGCTTCGCGAAATACCTCTTTCCTGGGAAGAACCAGCAAGAAATCCAGCGGGATCATATTTTTTTACTTATATAACTTTACAATAATTTAGTACAATTTTTTATATGAATTTTAATAGAATATTATATAATTTTTATGTTGCCCAGGCCCAGGACCGTGTTTTTCGGATTAAATGTTTGATTAGTAAAGAGCAGATGACAACAAGATGCATTAATTAACAAGCAGCACTGTGTTGCAGGTGAACACTTGGCTGACGTGGCTGCAGCAGCAGGAGTCCGAGGACGAGGAGGCGGAGGACTAGTCGCTGTGCCCTCACACATTCGCACTGCTTTCGTTTGCGCTCATCTCATATAAATATAATTAAGCCAAATAGTTAAAAATACCTACTTTTGTTACCCTTTAACGCTGGATCCGCCGCTCTGGGCGACTCTTGTGTTAAATAGGTCAATTTTTAGGTTAAACTATGTAAACAAATGTTAGTATCTCGAGATAATTTTTTGTAGGCCTTTTACTCGATTTTGATACTTTTACAAATGTATACAATGTATAGTGTTCGTTTGTACGTATGTTTGCACCCCGACCTGCCCCCTACTCCTGTCCATCAATGAGCGTACTTTAGTTTAAATTGTATAAATATACTTATGGAAAACTTAAATCAATTTCTATTATTAATATCATGATCATTTATTTTCAATACTAAATGGACTTAGTGAATAAACTGTAAGAATGCTTAAATTTCATTGTATTATCAGATTTTAGAATTTTGTAACTAGATAAATCGAAAAAGCCAATTGTTTCCTTGGGCATAAGAAATGTATGTTGATTGAGTGATTTGTAATAAAGTTGTGAAGTGATGCAAGTTAAATAAGTAACAATGGTCAATATGTATTCAGGATGAGAAATAAACTTCAGTGTAATTTATTATATAACTTGTTTTATTTCATAATATACAATTAACCTAACCAACACATTATAACATTAATACAAATTTACAAGACATTCACACACTCAAACTGCATCTCACTACTTCACTTTCTTGCAAAATGTTTATTGTAGTCCACTTTGTTCAAGAATCAATGGTGCTGTAAAATAAAAAAATACAATCATTATTTTTCTGTCTGAAGTGTCAAAATCCATTTTTGATTAAAGCAGATTGTTTAGATTTAGGTTTAATTGTACTTAGAAATGGGTCTACCACTGGCTATTATAGAAGTTAAAATATGTGTGTATTCTGCACTATTCTTTGTATATCATAAAATGATAATGTAACATGTGGTGGTGGTTAGGACAATCACATCGACCCATTTCGTCCCGTGGGTGCTGTCATTGTCAGATGTGCATTCTGGCATTTCCCATAGTTACTACTGTAAGTAAAATGCCAGAATGCACATCTTTTTCACATCAGATGTGAAATGTATGGCTGGCGACTTGACGTGCACCAGATTCAGGCAAATCATCTCTATAACTGTCTTCATGTCTATAATGTCTTCATATTAAATTTACTAGAAAAAATAATATTACCCCAACGACATATAAATTGTACGGAAATAGTCTTAAGGAAGTTGAGCTAGTGAAGGACTTGGGTGTTATACTTGATAAAAAATTGACTTATCTTAACCACATAGAAAGTGTAATAAACAAAGCTTCTAAATTACTAGGTTTTGTTATGCGACAAGGTCGAACTTTTAAAGAAGCTAAAACAAAAATCTGTCTTTACAACAGCCTTGTCCGCAGTCACTTAGAGTACTGTAGCGTTGTATGGCGTCCACATTATTCCACACACTATTTAAGACTGGAGCGTGTACAGAAAAGATTTATGTGGCATCTATCATACTCAGCGAAGATTAACAAAATAGTGGTGTCCTATAAAAATAGGCTAAAATACTTTAACATCATGACTCTTGACCAAAGAAGAGAATTGTTAGATTTAATGTTTTTATACAAATTACTGAGTAATAAATTAGACTGCCCCAGTTTACTAAGTAAAATTAATTTTCGAGTACCACGCAGATATCCGCGTACTGCTATTACTCCGGTCATACCTCCACGCACCAGGACGGTATTCGGCGCCAACTCCACAATCCCTCATTTATGTAAAATATATAATAAATTCAGTCAGTTAATTGACATCAACATTAATTCGCCTAACACCTTTCGTAAATTAATTATAAGCAACCTAGTCAGCCAGTCATCCTGAGTGTGATTTTTTTTCTCATATTAATTATTACGTATATTTTCTTTTAATAATATATATTTAGTTGGGTTAGATTATGATAGTTGTTAAATTAAGTTGTAATTTTGATTGAAAGACTAATTATTAGTTTGATTAAATCTCTTTTGTTGTTTAAATTGATAAGGTTTTACAGGCTTTTTTTGTTTTTTTTTTTCTGTTATTAACTTACTTTTAAATTTATTCACTAACACTAGCAAAAATAGCATGTAGTGTTTACCTTTAAATGATTTTACATACTCTGTGCATGTAATATAGTAATTATACTTTAAGAAATGTATGTAACGTATGTATTGTAAAATCGCTGGTAGACCCAATAAATAAATAAATAAATAAATAACTGTACAGCCCCATGTCCTGCAGTGAACTTCTTTGGCAGATGAAGAAGAGCAATTATACATATTTATTGTCAAAGAAAATGTCTGTAAATTTTTAGTCTGTAGAACACTGGAAAATATTTTAAAAACCTAGGAAGATGTTAATTTCTAAAAAAAGAGAATATTCATGTTGCAATTGCACAAAATCACACAAAGGCAGACAATACTCAAATACTCTGCATGGGATTGTCAGTTACCTATTTCAAATGAAACAACATAAAATTATATTTTATGACATTAAGAAAAACAAAGGACATTTTACGCATAAACAATATAAAGAAATTGGGTATTAACTAGTCTAGTACAAATTTATAAAGGTTTTTTTTTATGTGTGTTACGTCTACTTTTTGCCGAGTGAACCGATTTCGATGATTCTTTTTTTATTTGAAAGCTGGTGCTTCTCATGTGGTCTCATATAAATTTGATCAAGGTCTGACCAATAGTTTATTAGTTTTTGAGTTATTCTTAATAATTTATCTTATTATATAATATTTTTATATAGGTTGCACAAAATTTTAATTTTAAATTATTATAAATACTTTTGTACAACAGCCAAGGGTTGTTGATTGATATATCAAGTTAGACATGCACAAAATGCATCACTGAATAGAAGAGAGATAAATCATTTCTTTTTGTTCAACAGCCGACACTACACGGCTTGAGAGTTTTTTTAAAAATGTTTTACATATAATAATATAAAAATACTGTTACAAAAATTTATCAAATTAGAGATAATTAAGATATAATAAAAAGATAATTTTATTAAGTAAAGTCGAATAAAGAGCGGTGGAAAATAATAAAGATACATCCAATCCAAATCATGGCAGCACTTCATGATATTGTAAGCTTATCCTGCATTGATCGGACCAAAAATTAAAAATCAATATACCTATGGAATGATATTCAGAAAAAGAAAGAAAGACATTAATTCACTGGAACTGTACACATCACAAAAATAAAAAGTTAAAAGTATGGTAGATTAAAATTATAAAAGTGTATCAAGCCAGTGAAAAGGTTTTGAGTCAGTGTAACGCTACAGCGCTGATGATGCTGCCATAACCACAGATACACTATCCTAACAACTATATTACCCATTCCTACCATAGCGTCCCGTTAGTGTTGAAAGAGGTGACAGAGGGAGACAAACCAGATGTACGGCAGGATCTCAGTAGTAAAGTAAAAAATGACTTTCAATAAGAATTACACATGTAATCTATATTGAATAAAAAATTATTCTATTCTATTCTCCCTAATAAAAACTAAATTATAAAAAAACTGCGGTTGCCAACCCGCCTACCAAGCATCGATAGCAAATACGACGCTTTGATCGGCTGTCGTGAATTAATGAGTGAGAGGTTATGCAATTTATAGGTGCCGTATTTGAATTTCGTAATCCAATTATAAAGAAGTAATTAAAATTTATATAATCTTATTGAAGTAATACTGCATACATAATATTACTGCAACTTCAATCGGTACTCTCTCAATGCAACTCAATGGTTTTACTCACCAATTCTAATCGCGGCACAAAGTACGCAAAATGTTATAACACTATTTATCGTATTTTCTCTGGCCTGCCTTTTCTCCTCCATAGGATCTACTCTTTCTCCGAATGGTAAACGGAACATGATGTTTTGTAAATTTGGAGTAAAATTTATAAATTTTACTTTCACGCAAATCACAAGATGATGGTTATTTTTTTATTAAGATTTTTGGCTTGGATGTTTGTCTTTTAAGCTCAAGATGATGGCTTTCTTTTTTTTTATAGGATAGGGTGACAAACGAGCACACAGTCCACCTGATGGTAAGTGGTTGCTGCGGCCCATAGACACCTACATTTATCCTCAACAAAGAATCAAATGGCAGATGCGTCGTCACCCGTGAGGACTAAGATGGAATGCCTCTTTTCCAGTAAAATGGGTATCCGGTTCTCTACACTCACCATACGAAACACAGCAGTGTCAAGCTGCTATTTCACACTGGTGTTCTGTGAGAGCGTGGTCCTTCCCTGGTCGAGCCGAACCATTCGTGCTACAACTATACTACTAATATAGCTGCAGCATGGCTCTCTCTGCTGACTCGCAGAACGTAATATAGGTATAAGCCTAAAGGGGTGCTGACCATCGACTTAGAATATACTGGCGCATAGACCACCAACACAGTGTGCAAGGGAGAAGAAAATTCCTTATGGCAAAACTGCAAGATAGAAAAGGATACCAAATCTCATGACTCTGTAACCGATTTTGAATGATAGATCGGCACGCAAGAAATAGCTCCTAGGTATTTTGTAATTTTTTAAAGTGTAATAGTGGTTATTTTAGTAAGTAACTTTTTCCAAAATGCTTACTTGTTCAGGGAGTGATTGTGGTGTTAATAAAAGAAATAATCTTGATAATTGCACATTTCACAGGTAAATTCTCAAGAAGTCCTCAATGTTATGAAGCGTTTATTTTTGGTTAAAATGTATGTTATATACTGTTGAAAATATAGAACTTTTTCAATTATTTTGTTAATTTTGATATTTTACAAAGAAAAAAGTCTCGTTGTTGATAATTTGGTAATTACATTTTTATACAAAATATGTTACATATAAGGTAGGGATTGACTCAACTATATCAAAATTAATGTCGATATTTATCTTGAACATAATCAAACAATACACTGGTTTCTGCACTAAGGTCTAGACTTCTATAG